GGGGGGGGCGGGGAAGTGAGGAGCAAAGGGTAAGCTTTGTGACAGATGTAGCTTGATTTGTATGCGCTTGGTTACGTGCAAGACGACAGCAGATCCCATAAGACTGCAGCCAGACTCGATGCTCAGCCGTGCCAGCCCGTGCTGCTCGAGTCACAATCGAGTCATCGAGGCCAGCGAGAGGTTCAGCGACGCCACCAATCATCCGACTCGGCTTTGTACGCATCCATCCAGCCTTGTCGACGCCTTGACCAACTGCGATGAGGAAGCGCAAGTAGTGCAGCATTTTCGCCAATCTGGGAATCGATGACCGCCTAGCCCTGCTCCAGAGCCTGCAGAGCGGCAGATGTTGTACCAGCCCTCGAACAGACGCCCTTACGTCGTCGGTGCTCAAGCAAGCTCAGTGTGTCTCTGACTGCACCAAGACGATGTCACCCATCAGGGCCCAGTAAGGGTGCGAATACTGCTCCCCACAGATCCGTCTCTCTTAGAGCTGCTCCTCCCCAAGCCCCACCGGTCCGACGAGGCAAGCTGGGGACCAGTCGGCCTTACAACAGCCATTGATGTGCAACACAACATCTGCTTGCCAAGGTTTGGGAAGAGAGTACGAGGGATACTTACGAGTCTGTTGAGTGGTGTGTCGAGAGGGTGTGGTTGGTGGTGATCAGGCAGTGAAAGCCGGGGGCGATTGATCCACTCAAGGCGACCAAAGCCTGTCCGCGCGCACACCACGCACACCGCAGAGATCTGACTGTAGCAGGCGCCGCCCGCCCGCCCGTCACCGAGACTCGCAGCCAGACCTGAGGGTGCGGTGCGCCAATTGCGCGCAAGCTTAAGGGGGCACCCGAGCAGTGTGCCGATTGCGGCTTACGCGCGCCCGCGCGCGCGCGCGCACGCAAGCATGGCACTCGATCGTGATGCCCGCGACCGCGCGCGCGGGGGCTCTGGAGCAGCTGCGGTCACCAAAATGCAACTTTTTTCTCGTGCGTGTTGTCGGCGGCATGCCATCTGGCGCCAGATACGCCACGTGGCTCGTCACCCGCCGTCAAGTTTCCTCGAGCACGCGTCGCCTTGAGCACCTGGGCTGGGCAACTTCAAAGAGGGAACATGGCATCCTGCCGCTCTGGCAGTGCTAGACTGCTTCTCGACTCCAGCAACACACCTCGACTAAGCTTTTCAGCCCTTTCAACTTCCCAACACTAGCTAACATGTGAGCATCCCGATAGCGCGCAGGTCGAGTGCAAGAGGCACAGAGCAGTCCGCGTCAGACTGGAAGGATGAGGAGCTCGAGACGGGTCGCTTGAAGCGCAAAGGCAAGCGTGGCCACCACAATGCGAGGCTGTTACGATGCACGGAGTGGAAGCAGGTAGCCACCAATGGGGACGCTGCTAGCCTCACATGCATCTCGCCAGTCTTTGCTGGCAAAGGCGAAGATCAAGAGGTCCGCCTCAGGTCAGGACTGCAGCTTCACGACCCAACAAAGCATAATCAGCGATGTTGTAGGGCGGAAGTCAATTCGAGCGGATCGATGACCGGATCGCCTTGACCATCACGTCGCACCGTGCTGACCGCCGCTGCTTCGCCTCTTTGTCCCTGCAGCAGTCAAGATGGCTCACAAGGACGTGTGGTTCACCCACCCTCGCAACAACTCCAAGGGAGGTCGTCAATGCCGAGTTTGCGGTAACAATGGCGGTATCATCCGCAAGTACGGTGAGTCTCGGACGAGCCATGTGAAAGGGCATCGCTTTGGCACGCTTGAGCTAACACTCGTACTGCTGGGGGCTCTTCGTCAACCCGCGCAGGTTTGGACATTTGCCGTCAGTGCTTCCGCGAGAAGGCAGATGCTATCGGATTTGTCAAGGTGAGTTTGCTTCTGTCAAGTGTTGCGCCTCAAACATCATGCTCAAGCGGCGAGTCGTGAGGA